ATATTTTTTTCAGATGTTTTGGATAACTTTTTTTTATTTTTGTTTTTTTTTAATATTTTTACGTTCGCGTTCGGAAAGTTTCGGCGCTCGTTCGCGTTCGGTCCCGAACGTTCGGGTTCGGTCACCGAACCCGAACACAATAATACACAGGTAATAAGCTTTATTTTTCGTCTTAGGACTACAACATCTTAAACATGACCCGAAAATTTTCCTACCCTTCGAGCAACTGAGATTCATCAAAGTGGACATCATTAAAAAGTTTAAAGATTTGAATATGATAGTACATACCTTTAAATTCAAATTCATGATAATTGCAAAAAAAAACAGAATTCCAACAAAACTTGATTTTACAAACCCGCATCGCCAGTCTTTCATATTACAAATCTTTTGGTCAAATATTGAATGACAAAGCAAAATGTTCAAAAACATACTACAACAAGGAAAATAAAAATAAGTTTCGTTTACAAGTTGCTCATTTCGCACCCTTTGTTGAGCAACGGAGCGAAAATAATAAAAAAATGACAAACAAAATTTTGGTTTAAAGAAACCTAAAAAAAAAATATGTAGAGTTGTTAATGCTTCGAAACGTTGAAACTCGAACCGCAAATCTTCAATCAATTTTCAAATTCTCAAAATCGGAAAGTAAAAATACGCGAAATGCAAAGAAAAAAATCGCCAAAACAAGAAAGGTTGGCCACACATGCCTGGTTAAACGGGGTTACGCGAACTACGACCTACTGATGTACAAAATTTACAAGGAATTAATAACCACTAACGACTAAACTCAGATAATCTGATGAACAACGACAAACTGAAACCTGCTTTATTGCGGAACCAAAAATGATCTTAATCGCGATGGCTCTATGACAACCTCCGAAACAATGGGTTTCTTGAAGATTTCCTAGTCAACATCCTCCGTTGCCATTGAATTTAACGTCTCGAATATCTTTTGTCTGGTTTGCGAAAAAATGGTCTTGTCTGTTTTCAGTTGAAAGTTGTAATAAAGAACGCCGCAACTCCAGTCCTGCGTAGCACGGCGAACGTGTTCGCACCCCTTCATGTTCGCGCGAACGTGTTCGCGCGTTCGCGCGAACAGCTCGCGAACATGTTCGGGGGAACATAATTTTTTTTCGTAAAAAATAAAAAACAAAAATTTCGGTTTTTGATTTTAACTCATGATTGGTTACGAATTTGAATATGACTCCAAGGTAAAAGTTGCTTGTATTGTTATTTTACATAACATATAGTGTTTTCAGATTTTTCTGAGAACTTTTTTTTTTTTTTCCTAATATATTTTATGTTTGCGTTCGGAGGGTTTTGGGCGCTTGTTCTCGTTCGGGCGAACATGTTCGCGTTCGCCTCCGAAAACGAACACGGTGCTACGTAGCTCCAGTCGTAGACGTCGTCGGAAGACTCTCTCGTAGTCTTTCCTTGAAGATTTATCTTGAACTAAGGATAGTAACCCTCTCCTTTCTCACGTTGTGCAAACCAAGCGACTTTGAAATGTTTATCTACTAGCAGCTCGACAACCTTGCCAATGTGGTAAGGTATGGCTCTCTCTTCATGCCCCGGACAAACTCGTAGAGCGATGAAAGTGTTGACCTCGAGATCGTCGTACTTTCCATCTCTATCCTCTTGGAACTGTCTGCTCTTGCGTGCACTGATGTAGACGGGTATCTCAGGAGGGAAAATATCATCCCAGCGTTGATCCAAGTCATCAGCGGTTGATAAAACTTCTTCACCTGCTCTGCAGACATCAACTTCGATAAAGGGCCACGCGAAAGGCTCTTTGAGATTTTTGTCCTCAAGGTCGAGTGTTTTCTTCGTTGCTATGAACTTATTTCACCATTCGGTGTTGTGGGGTTGAGCATAATACGACAAACCTTGTACGTTGGTTTTCAAGGCTGCGATGGAAAATACATCATTGTCGACCTTGAATTTCGAAGACCCTCACGCTTTTCGATTACGAACATGACCTTCACTGTTGCCGACCTTGTCGTTGCCTCCCGTCCTCACCCCAACAAGTAAGCCGAAATCTGGCTTTCAAAGATCGGATTGCATAATTTGGCAAAGCTTGAACTTGTCCTGTTGGCTCTGACTTGAAGATGTCCAGACCTTCTCTATCGTTCGGTTGCCATTGCGACTAATGATATTGCTTGCTTCAAATGGGCACCTCTCCGTCGTCATTGCGCTTGATTCGAAAATGTTGATTGACACTAATATCATTGACATTATGTAGATGATCCTGAATGTGCAACTTTCAATCCATTGTTTCCATCATCTCCTCAACGTAAACGTCATGATCTTGTTCTACTAATGATCTGTTGCAACTCAGAAAGATCGAACACATTATGTAATGTCAGCTTTCTGGAGAAACAACTGAACATCTGATCAATGTCCTCGTGTGTGTGACCTACAAGAAGAAAGTTTAACTTTACTTTACTAAACACTATCATCTTTACTAAGAATAGGAGATATGCTAACACAAATTTGTTCTTGTTTTCTTTCGAAGTGTTATCAAGTGTGAAATAGAGGACTCTCGAAAATGGTATAGGAAGTTGAGAAATCCAACGATGAAGAACAACTAACATGCAATTAGAATCGGATTTGAAGTTGTCAAAGAATACAGTTGCAAAGGTGGTCGATGAAAATCCTAACACATCGGCCCCAACCACGTGAACTTTCACAAAGTACCTTTCTTTCAGTTTCGAATCCTTTAGAACTTTTTTAAAGTGTGGTAGTATGGTTTTGCTCTAATCCATACCATCGATGATCATTGCGACGTACTCTGCCGGTCGGCTGGAAGCGTTGTGGCGATACTTACTAAGTTTTTGTCTCTCTTCTCCTTGCATTAACCGGTGCTTCTCTAGTGCCTTGCCGAACATTTCTGTGCAAAAAACAAAACAAGCGAATACTCTGTCAAAACTTTTTCACAAAGAGAGACCAAGCCCGATTAAAGACCTGAAAATCGAAGCAGATTATCACACAAAGTGTTATAGGGCTATAACTCAGAATAGTCAGTCGACAAGTGTCGTACACTTATAAATTCATTCTTCCACAAAATCTTTATTTTAATTAAATGAAAGAGTACGGGCAGGACAATGAAGACGTCACTAATAAAGTTTTAGTCTTTTAGAGATAGTCGGTTGCAAGGACGTAGCCAAGAACAGTCAGTTGCCTCAAACCATAAAATAACAGAACTCTTTCTTTAACAAAATTTCTATTTTCATGAGAATCCGTTCTAGAATGCGCTAATTGTAGCATTTGCTTTTCTACAAAAACAACTTATAGGACTATAAGTCATGACAACCAGTCGCGCTATATCAAACATTGAAGAATGAACATAGAGGTACTTTAATGAGATACGTCATTTCCCAGATCTTCTTTAACTAACTATTTACGACGAAACACAAATGATTCGTATGTAACACAGGGGTGCTTTCATGAGATACGTGATTTCCCAAATTTTCTTTAACTAACTATTTACGGCGAAATACAAATGATTCGTATGTAAACACAAATGTATAAAAGGGAAGTAAGGAGAGAGAGATCGAGAGAGATCGAGAGAGAGAAAGAGAGAGAGAGAGAGAGAGAGAGAGAGAGAGAGAAGAAGAAGAAGAAGAAGAAGAAAAAGACTTAGGGAAAAAAGAAGAAGAGTTTCATGAGAATCCTTTCTAGAATGCGTGAATCCCAACATCTAGTTTTCGGAAAAAAAAAGAACTTATAGGGTCTTAAGTCATAACAGTCAGTCGAGATGTGAAAAACATTGAAGAATGAGTCGGAACAGCCGGTCGCGCTGTGCCAACATTGAAAAATGAACACTATCGTCCTTTAATGAGATACATCGTTTACCGGATCTTCTTTGACTTATTATTAAGGTGAAACACAAATGATTCTTATGTAAATACAAATGTTAAAAATGATGATAAAGTGAAACAGATCAACTGAGAGAGAGAGAGAGAGAGAGAGAGGAAAAAAAAAAAAAAAGTCAGGAAGACAGAGAGAAACAAAATAAGCATTGAGGTTCTGTCATTACCTCGTTCAAATGCATTTGTTGTCTGTGAACGACCTTTCTTGAATTTCAGACATGTGGAATAGACCGAGAACCTCTTCAATGCAGGAATGAGAACTTTGGGGCAGTGAACCCTCCAAATGGTCATAAATCTGGAACGGGAAGGAAAATTTTTCTTCATGTAAAGCACTTTGCAGTCTCGCTCGAAGAAATCGTACACGTCTCTGCGTCGCAGAGTATATGAAAGATGAAATTAGTCGCTATTCGGCATACTCTCAATGTTAAATCGAAAATATTAATGTAACCAGGCCAGAATTTTGTGATAAAGCAGCTAAATCCACTGATCCTTTGTTTGCACGCTCGTACAACACTAGTCTGTCTCTGAAGTCTTTGCGAAGCTTTCTTACACGTGTCGTCGAGCATCTGTACAACTTTCCCCACGCTTTTGTGCAAACCTTTATGTCGTTGAATGTCACTCTTAACACCTCTAAATCTTCATCATCTGAAAAATACGACGCAACCCTCATCTCTGTGAGAAGGAAGTTGACTCGCTCAGGTTATTTTATTGCCCAAAATTCTTCTTGCTTATAGAAAACGTCTGCTACTGTGAACTTCTTGTAACATTTGGCATTGCAACAATCTTCCTTGAGAACTACTTCGACATTCTTCATGTTCACGTGGTAGTTAGCTTTCTTGTTGTAACAACGATTTCGTAAAAACGGAAATTTTATATTTTTTGAAAGAAATTGAAACCTACTTATTTGGCTACAACAATATCACGTTTTATCTTATGAGATACCATTTGCACTTAACTGAGGTTCAGGTACATCCAATGAGGACCCTAAGGAGCTAAAATGGTGACATTTTTAGTGCCAAATGAGTGAGTTTCAATTTCGTTCAAAAAATATGAAATGTCCGTTTTAACGAAATCGTTGTTTTGTACACAGGTACGTTCCTGCCGCGCTTTCCCAAGTTGTAAGGAGATTTCTCACTCTTGCTTGATTTGTTGTACAATCGTCTTCCTACATCCTGTGCTAATGTCTGCTTCGCTTCTCCTAAAAGTTATCCAGATAGACTCTTCTTGAACATGTCGACATCAATTTCTGACTCATCCTTTACTTCATCCTCGTCAGAGTCTGTGTCTTCTGAATCCTCATCCTCGCTCAATTCCTCGACATCGCCGTCGCTCGACTCCTCCTCCTCGTCCTCGTCGTCGCTCGATTCCTCCTCCTCGTCCTCGTCGTCGCTCGATTCCTCCTCCTCATTGTCGTTGTCATGCAATTCTTGCATAACACTGTTGTCGAGCATTTCTTTCACAATAAAGTTCTTGCTCAAGTCCTGTACATCGCCGATCTCTATGGAGTATTCGCCTTTAGTGTTTGGACACTAACGCTTCCGTGGGCGCTCTATCTGGATTGTACTCTCAGTTTTGCCAGTTGCCTTCGCCATGGCGCAATAACCGTTCTTGTTTTTGTCTTCGATCACAGTCGCTTAAGAAACAAACAAACTTGGTGGTCTTCTCACCATTTGCACTGAATTTCGGTAGAGGGTTCTGCTTGTCTCCTCCGCTTGTAGAACAATGACGAAGGTCCGGAAACCACCTGACAATCTTCGTCTTGGCACTCTTGGCATGAACACTCCTCTTACAATGAGAAAGGTCTGATAACCATCTCACGGGGTTGATGTTGCGACTACTCTGACCTTGGGTTGTGGTCATATTAACGACAAGAGGAGTACGTCTTTCGGTTAAAGAATCCATAGCGGGAAGATATGATAGAACAACCTATCTGACGTCTAGAAGTGACGATGGCATCACCTACAAAAGAGAAGACTCGGTGTTGGCGCGAGAAAGTGGATAACGAAGTTGAAAGACTCTAAACAATGAAACAACTGTCAATCATGCACTCACTTGAAAGCTTTCAATGCCAGAGGACGACCGAAAGAGCGTTGCTAACGGGCGTAAACTTCTTGGACACCAAATTGAAATAAAATGAAAATGCTCGCTATTGGAACCCGAGTGAAGAATATCGTTCGGAATTTGGAATTTTCCGCCTACGGATTTTGGAGAAGTAGAATTTTTGAGCCGTTAGCGACCAAAAATTCGGAGAGTCAAGACTCTCGGTAAAACAAATAATTTTGAGCGCCCAGCTACTTGGATCCTCGTGAAGAACATCGTTAACAATTTAGAATTTTTCGCCAAAGGTTTTTGCAAAAGTTGAAATTTTAGACCGTTGACGACAAAATTTTGGAGAGCCTGAACCCCCGGTAAAACAAATAATTTCGAACGCCCAGCCACTGGGATTCCTGTCAAGAACATCGTCAAAAATTTGGAATTTTCCGCCAACGATGATCTCCAAAATTGAATTTTTAAATCGTTAGCGACAAAATTTCGGAGAGCCACGACTTGATAGAACAAAACACTTTGCACGGCAAGCGCCCGCTTATGCTTTAACTGGTTCCCGCCAAGATTCAATGTGGAATTTAACTTCTTGGAGACCAAACCACGAAAATTTGAAAGACTCTGCTAGAAAATTTCCAAATTGTGAGAAAGACTTCGCAAGGTTGGGAGAAGCAAAAAAAAAATCAAAGACGACCAGCGTCGAGTATCGTCGTTGGACGTCATCGTAGCTTAGAGAGCAAACATACATATACAAACAGAGAGAGAGAGAGAGAGAAACTAGCGTCGAGCATCGTCGTAGTTGCTTAGAGACCATCGTTTTTGTGTAGATCGTCGTTGCTATTTTTACTGAATAAACAGTCATACTTTTGAAGTCAAGATTTGTCTCATAAGATTTTAAGATTTCGATGTAATGTGTTAGAATGTGGATATTCTTTTAACTAGAAAAGACACTCTAAGTACAGAGGACTCTATTGGAAAATTTTCTTTATTGTTTAACAATGTTGTGCCTAAGGATAAATAATGGATTGTATTTTTCAAAATGGAGGAAAAAAACTCGGATGTTGTTCAATGATTAATTTGAGTTCAGATTTGGGCAAGCACGACAGCGAACTGGTAAATATAATCCTTGTAGTCTCGGTAAAAAATATTTATTGCACGGGACTGAATCGTTACCTAGCGGAAAACACACACCCTTGAAGGACTGACTTTCTTATTTCATCGTCTTCCTTGCCTGAACCTATGGATATAGGACGGTATTTGTAAACTTGCGTGAATTGTTTTATTTATGTCATTTGCGTACATTCATGTAAGGCTGTATCCTCTGTCTTCTTTCTACTTTCTTACTCTTCAGCCTGGGTTACAGATATAACCCTATAAGCTTATATTGAGACAAGGACGACGACGAAATGAGAAATACAATGCTTGGAGGGCCGGAAAGGAACAATTTTTGTTACATATTAAATTAGTTGTAAGGGCACAAACGCCTGAAGGACTGTTTTTCTCATTTCCTCCTCTACCTTGCGCAGATGTTTGGATCTTGTAAGGTCACAAACGACTGAAGGACTGTCTTTCTCATTTTTTCCTCTACCTTGCGTAGATGTTTCGATCTATGATTTTATTAATAAGTTGTCTGATTTCTTTTAATTATGTCATTTGCTTAGATTGATGTAGGCCTGTATCCTTCGTCTTCTTTCCATGTACTTCCTTCTCAACCAAGGTTACAGATATAACCCTATAATTTAGATTAAGACAAAAATGACAATGAAATGAAAAAAACAGTTTCATGTTCTTCCTCCTCAGCCAAAATTACAGATATAGCCCTATAATTTAGATTGAGACAAGAATGACAACGCAATGAAAAAAACAATCCTCGAAAGGACGAAGAAGGACATGTATTGTTCGAGGTGGAATTTCTGTCTAAGGACAAACACACTTGAAGGACTTGTCTTTCTCATTTCGTCTTGTTCCTTACATGAATCTAGGGATAAAGGACTCTATTTGTAACCTGCCTGATTTGTTTCGTTTATGTCATTTGCAAAGGCTGATGTAGGCCTGTACCCTGTGTCTTCTTAGCATCGTCTTCCTCCTTAGGATCAAGGTTACAGATATAGCCCTACAGTCTTAGCTCCAGGCAAGAACGGAAACAAAATTGGAGAAACGGTCCTTTAAGGGTCGGAAAATAACATATGTTGTTCGATATTGAATTTTTGTCTAAGGACATAAACGTTTGAAGGTCTGTCTTTCTCATTTCGTCCTCTTCCTTGCCTGGATGTAGGGATAGGGATCTGTGTTTGTAACTTGCCTGATATGTTTTATTTAATTCGTTTTCGTAGATGGATGTTTTGGTTGTATCCTCCGTCTTCGTGCCATCTTCTTCCTCCTCATGGCAAGGTTACAGAATTAACCCTGTAACCCTCGATTGAGTCAAGGACAACAACGAAATGGAAGATGCAATCCTTGAAGTGTCGGAGAAGTACACTTTTTAAACGGGATTGATATGTTTTCTCGTCGTTTTTTTTGCATGCATCTGAGGATACACGACTAAATCTGTAACCGTGCTTGATTTGCTTTCTTTATGTCATTTGCGTGAAGGGATGTAGGCCTGTATCCTTGGCCTCCTGCTATCTTCTTCTTCCTCCTCTCACATACATACACAACCTTGTCATCTTCCTTCGACTCCTCCATGCCTGCTCTTTCTTTTTGCCATGTTTTTCCTTCCTCCTCCTCACACATGCACACACAACCTTGCCATGTCATCTTCTTCCTCCTCTTCCCCTCTCCTTCTCCTACTACTCCAGCTCCTTACCATCTTCCTCCTCCTGCCATCTTCTCCTCCTCCTCCTACTTGTCATCTTGTTTTTCCTGCCATCTTCTCCTCCTTCCCACATTCCCCGCGCCTTCTCTCTCCCTTCCGTCCCGCGTTTCATCCCATCTGCGTCCCCGCGTTCTTCCCCCTGAGGCTCTTCTTCCCCGAATCCCCCGCCCCTCGCCTTCCGCTCTTCCTTCCCCCCTTCCTTCCCCCCCATGTTCCCCCCGCGTTCCTCCGGCTCCTCTATGCCTCCTCTTTCTCCTTGCCATGTTCTTCCTTCCTCCTCCTCACACATACACACACAACCTTGCCATGCCATCTTCTTCCTCCCCCTCTTCCCCTCTCCTTCTCCTACTACTCCAGGTCCTTACCATCTTCCTCCTGTTGCCATCTTTTCCTCCTCCTCCTACTTGCCATCTTGTTCTTCCTGCCATCTTCTCCTCCTTCCCACATTCCCCGCGCCTTCTCCCTCCCTTCCGTCCCGCATTTCATCCCATCTTCGTCCCCGCCTTTTTCCCTCTGAGGCTCTTCTTCCCCGAGTCCCCCACCCCTCGCCTTCCCCTCTTCCTTCCCCCCTTCGTTCCCCCCTTCCTTCCTCCCTTCCTTCCCCCCCACGTTCCCCCCCACGTTCCCCCCGCGTCCCTATGCTCTTTTCATTTCTCCCTGTTTGGCTTTTTGTTTTTCGGCGTTGTGGTCTTCCTCCTCCTCTTGCTCCCCATAATTGTGGTCTTCCTTCCCGCCTTCTCCCCGCCTTCCCTTCCGCCTTCTCCCCGCCTTCCCTTTGGCCTTCTCCCCGCCTTCTCCTCGCCTTCTCCCCGCCTTCTCCCCTCCCTCCCTTCTTGTTTCCCGCCTTCCCTTCCTTTGTCGCCTTCCCCTTCACCTTCTGCCCCTCCTTCTCCCCGCCTTCCCTTCTTGTTCCCCCGCCTTCTCCCCGCCTTCCTTTCCGCCTTCCCCATCACCTTCTCCCCCGCCCTTTCCCCACCTTCCCTTCCGCCTTCATCCCGCATTCCCTCCCGCCTTCTCCCCGCCTTCCCTTCTGCCTTCCTTTTTGCCTTCTCCCCGCCTTCCCCCTCACCTTCTTCACTGCCTTCGGCGCCTAAAGCTTGGTGCGCAGCAGGGGGGTTCTGTCTCGGCAAGCCTAAAACACCAGCACAATCTAAAAAACGACCTAAGCTTTGTTGTTGAGGGTAATCAAAGAAAAAAGGGGAATGAATCAAAGAAAATAGGGTAATCAATCAAAGAAAAGAGGGTAATCAATCAAAGAAAGAGTGTGGTTGTTATTGAGCGACGGTGGGAGCGAAGGTTCCGATAAGATATCTTCTTCGAGGTAGATTAAGATTTATTTAGGCCTACAAAAGTTCTTTTTTTTTTTCTATTTAATTCGTTTTTTATGTTTCTTTCTTCCCTTGTTTTTTTTGTCTTCTCTCTTCGTTTTCTTTCTTTCTTTCTTTCTTTCTTTCTTTCTTTCTTTCTTTCTTTCTTTCTTTCTTTCTCTCTTTCTTTCTTTCTTTCTTTCTTTCTTCTTCTTTCTATTTATCTTTCTTTCTTTCTTCTTCTTCTTCTGTTTCTTTCTTTCGTTTTT